TTTCTGTAATTTCTTCCCAATTAGTACATATTGACTGCCGCCATTGTGTTCGTATCTCACGCCACCTTTTGGGGTGCAGCCATAACACAATCCGTATCTCAATTTCAACCTTCCTAATTAATCTCAATTATGTACTATATTACAGGATTTTCTATTGTTACCTATTTTCGTACTTATTATACTCCCCTATCTTCTTCCTGCAGCAACCTTATAATTCTCCCAAATTGGTTTTTAATTAAAATTAACAAAGAACTTGAAAATAAAAATAATTTAACATTAGATAATAATATATTTAAATTTGTTATTTATAGTTTTAATTATATTAATATAATTTATTTTATAGCTATAGATGAGTGGTCTACTCCTTTAAAAAAATCTATCTATACTTTTGTAATTATTACACCTAGCAGAAAGCAATATATTTATAGTTTAGTAGATAAATCAAGCAAATTTTATACAGGTTCTTTTAATGCTTCTGAAATTGAAAAGATTTTAATTGCAGTTGGTACTAAAAAATTTGTAGCTATAGTTTCAGATGCAGAATCAGCTATGCAATTAGCAAAACAAATAATTTTTACTAAATATTCTTAGCTCATTATATTAATCTTATAACTTCTTATATTATTAAATTAGATTTTCTAAAAATGCTTTTAAAAAATATCAAAATTTAATTATATTTTTTAAAACTTCTTATTGTGTTAATATTGCTTTTCAAGAAGATATTATTAATTCTTTAATAAAAGGTAGTAGATTAAAAACTTTTGTAAAAACAAGATAGTTTACTGTATGAAATTGTTGTAATTCTATTAGTAGATTAGAAAATAGTCTTAAAAATGTAGTTAATTTTATTTTTTTATTATATTTACAGTAGACTCTCTTAAAATCAGTATGTATAGAGACAAGTTTTGAATTAATTTTGAAAGGTTATCAAATTTAAAAATATAACAAGCTATTAGATTTATATAACAAGAGTAAACTTGGTAAATTAATTTTTATCAGATTTAACAGATTATTAGTTTTGACAGGATTAGTTTTGAAAGAGTCAACTATATTATATTTTTTATTTATAATAACTAAATAATTATCATAAAGTAGTTTATTATTAAATATTTTTAATATTAATAATTTTTATATTTATTTAAGTTCTTAAAAATCAGCCTGAAATTTTTCAAAATATGTTATCTATAAAAAATATTCTTTATAATTGTCAATTTTGGCAAGATGTAGAGCAATTAGAAATTATACTTGCACTTGCTAAAAGAGCAATTCAGACAGTTGAAGCAAATTCAAGCAATATGGCATTATGTTTTTTAGAATTAGTTAAAATGGCAATTGCTATTAAAAATATTCCAGATAATATAGATTTAAATTTTAAAAATCTATGCATTAAAATCTATAATAAGTATTAAAAGCAATTTGATATTTTAATATATCTTCTTGTTTATTTTTTACATCCTAAATATAGAGGTAAGTTTTATTTTATTTATTAAAATTAATATGAATTAATTTAATTAAATTTTATTTAGGTAAAGAATATAAAGATAAAATATTTTGTGAACTTTTTTTACATGCTATAAAATTTGAAAAAGTAATAGTATTATATACTTATGGAATTTTATTAACACAACTTCGAAAATATTCAGAAAATTTAGCACCAAATAATATGGAATATAATAAAAATTATAATATATCTAAACTTTGGTGGATAATCTTAAAACAACCAGATAATTTTATATAGCAATTAGCATTAAAAATGTTTTTATTGTTCCTCATCAAGCAGCATGTGAAAGAATTTTTTTAGTATTAAACTGGATGATTGGGAAAAAAAAACCAGATATAATTAATAATTTAATCTAAAATTATATATTAAATTACAGTATACTTATTTTTATTTAAAAAGATACAATATATATAAAGATATTATTTAGTTTTTTTTTATTTATAAATATATAATATTAATACTATATAAAATTTTATTAATTTTAAATTTATATTTATATTTTTTAGATTAAATATTAATCATCTTCAGTCAATGGCACAAATTCATTCATTTTATATTACAAATATGAAGTCTGAATTAAAATTTTCTATTGAAAATTTTAATAAAGAAAACTTGAAACTAAGATCTTTACTTAGTTCTATAAAAATATTATCTAAGCTTCTTGGTATATAATTAAACAAAAGAACTATTGCTCAATGGCAAAGCTTTAATCAAGAATACTTACAATTAATGAAATTTCAGAAGCTTTAATTGAAAATACAGATCTTTTTAATAAAAATGAAAAAAATAAAATAATAATGAAGATAAAGATAAAGATGAAGATTATAGTTTTGATTTATCTAATAAAGAAAATGAATCTAATCTTAATAATTTACTTATAGCAGAATTAATGGATTTAAATTTTTATGATAATAATGAAACTGAAATTGAAAATAATTCATTTTTAGATAATCAATACTTATTAGAAAATAATGAAAATTCAGACATTGATTTAGAAGCAATTCTTAATAAAGAACTTCAAAATTAAGGTATAATTTTATATTTTAAATTATTATTTTTAAATAACTAATTATAACTTTTTTTATTATAAATTTTTTATATTATTTTTAAAATATTAAATATAGTTATTTTTTTTTTTGTGGCAGTTTTTTTAATACTATAATATATACAGTCTAACCTCCCTATAATTACACCCCTCAGAATAAAGATTTGTATGATTGTAAAGAGAATTTTACTAAAATGTGCTTATAAAGAATTTTTTTTCTATATGTTTATAATAGTTGGTTTTAAAATAAATATGCTTATAAAGAGAATTTTTATATGATGTGCTTAT